ATTAATTAATGATCATTATGATAAATGTAGAACAAGAATTTAAACTTCAGTTAATATGGTCACCTTATCATTTAAATAAATAATATAATATAAAAATCCACCTTTTGTTAAGGGCTTCGGAACAAAAATCTCATTTTCTCTTTTACCTACACACTTTAATTTTTTCTTGTTTAATTTTTTTTGTTTTTCTTTGCAATTTTACTGATTTTTCTTCGAAAATTTTCTTATTATTTCAATTCTTCTTATACGTAAGTGTGTGTATTTTATGTGTTCAGTGAAAACAAGTCAAAGAAAATTTTTATTTTTTTTTTTCTTATATACCATTCATATATAGCAAACACAACAATAAATCATTCAACATTAAATAAGTCAATGAAAATCTCTTTAGAGTATTGTTTTCTTTTTTTTTGTTTGCTCTTACTTTTCTTACTTTCTCGTATAGGAACGTTTCTTGTTATTTTATTTGTGTATAACACCTGAAAATATCATCGTTCCGTATCGTATGATAATATAGAGGTGCCGGAATACACTCAAAACACAAAAAAAAAGATGTATAAAAGGTGAAAAACTGAATTTAACAATTTTATACGATGAAAGAGAAAAAAGGGAGAGAATGGGAAAAACTTTTTTTGTTTTTTTTTTTGTTTGTATTAAATTTTGATAAGCTATTTTCAATAAGAATTTCTGAGCGCCTTAAATTATGCAATAAAAAGAAGATATAATAAAAAATGTTTTAATTTCCTTGATCTTAGATCATGTTACAATAAACTTATATATTTTTTGGTGTATTGCCTAGGTACCTGAGACGAAAATATATTAGCTTCAAAAATTATAATTTTTGAAATTTTAATATATATAATAATATAATAATACGAGTATCTACAAGGGTTTGAAATGTTCGTTTAATACATACGAGTAGCATATATATTATAATAAAATATTAAAAAAATTTTCTTATATTGAGTTGTTTTGGGTGGAAAAATATTATTCTCCAATAAGACTGGACTGAAAAATATTATTCTCCAATAAGTAAATTTTGATTCAATATTCGTCTTTTTCTATCTGCTTCGTAAAAGTGTCTTTTATCTAGATACGTCTTGGCAATGAAAAAACATTCTTAATTTTTAGATAATTTTGATATTTTGACACGATTGGACAAAGAATAGTTTATTTTGCTAATTGTCAATAATTATTTACAATTACCTAGATTATTAAAAATTTTATAGCCTTCAGTAATATACGAAATATTTTTCTAAAAATTTTTCGTTTAACTCTACACAAGAAGCGGTTTTGAGGTTGATATTGAATTATGAATTATATTAAGTCGTAACCATATTTTTATCTATTCCGCTATTTCACTGGACAAATGCGAAGAAAATGAGTAACTATTAAATATTTGTAAAATGTAATTTCTGAGTTTTTTTTCTAAAATGTATAGAAAATTTATTAACTTTATTTATAAAAGCAAGACGTTCAGTCGACAATTTGAGAAAAAATGCAATAATCCAATTGAAAAAATTAAACATCCATTGAAGTGAGCCATGTACACGATTAGGCAGTAAAAATATTTTCAATTGTTTTTTTTTTTCATCGAAGGAAAAAGGAAAGCATGAAAGCTACTGACATGCCATTCCCTGACAACCCATAGTTAATTATTGGTTCTACTACCAAAACGTTCTCCTCATATTCTGGTACTAGTGCCCCTAGACCAACCATCAAATTTTCTTTAATACAGATTGAAAGAGATTGAACGCTACCCGAAGTCCTCTTTAGCCTTCTGAAACAATCCCGGATAACAAGAAGAGGCTTTTACATTAAGTTAAAAGAAACTTTTGATTACACTGACAAATAGGGGGATTTCCTATATGCGATTTAAAAATAAAACTAAGTATAAGATGAGTCTGTTAAAATTAGTTACGATAAGATATTTGAAGTTCAGAGCTCTTTCTGTTTGCTTTACTTATTCAAATATTTAAGTCACATTTCAGTAATAAGATGTGAACAATATTTTCCTCACAGCTCGTCATAATAGTTTCCTGTTTTGCAGCAGCCTGCTTGTTTATAAATAACACTTTATTTAGGATTTAAAAAATTTACAATTTTCTTTTTATATTTTCATTCATTTTCCCTCTTTTTTTCATTTTTTCTATAAAATTTTTCTTCTTTTATTAAAAAAATATAAAAATCATTTGTCAAAAATTATTTTTACTGATGCCAATATAATATTATTAAAATATCCTTGAATCTAGTTTGTCAAGTGCCGTCTTACTTTGATTTTATTGCAATATCAAACTGTGTTTACACCAATACTAACACGAGTATATTGTTTACCTTCAAATGTACGCACACCTATACACTTTAAAAGAAAATTAATATATTCGACTATTCCGTATAAATCCGAATAAATGTATGGGTGTAGGTTTCCTATGGGGAATTTCAACTTTATTTAAGAGATTAATGCAAATAAATAATTTTGTCAGGTGTACAACATTTTTTTATATTCATACTGATGTTTCCAATTTATTATATACGACAATATTATAATAATATATACGTAATATATATGATATATATGTTTTATATAGATTTAGCTACTTTCCCGTTATATTAAAGGTGACACATTATTTTTTATTTTCATTTTATGAAAAAAGAAAGTGAACACAACACAGTAATATTTTTTGGTTTGGCTTTTCAACCCTTTATACCTTCTTTCGTACCTAACAAAAGAAAATAAGCAAATGAAAAGAAAAAAAAAATGTGAAAAAACAAAAGGTTTTTAACCTCTGATATCAAAATTAATTACAACCTAAATTTATTTTGACGAGATTTTTCAACAATTTTCTTTTTCCTTTTTTTTTCTTTTTGCTTTCTTTTAAGAGGTGAATTTATGAAAAATGTGTGTATGTATGTAAACAATCGCAAAATATTTTTTATCCGCACCGGCTAGACGGTAAAAACGTTAACAATTAATCATTAGCTTTTTTAGAAACGGAGACACTGACTATAAAACAAAGAATAAAATAACGTGATTTAATTTTAAATATTCAAAAAAGGGGCGTAATTTATTACAAGGATTTGAAATTTATAATGTTATGAAAATTTAATATAAATTGGAGTTGCTTTTTTAAGAAAATTTATAAAGACAAACGCTTCAGTAAGGAATTTAGTTGTCTTTTTTCTTTAATAAATTGCTACTATAATTTTTAAAAAAATATTTAAGAATTTAAAAAGAAAGTAACTTTAATAATTTAATATATTTATTTAATAAGGATTTAGGCGACGAGACCGCCGTGCACATTCTATGCGACTGCCCGATACAGAGTATTCAAAGTCGCAATTGTTTTTGGCAGCGTTTCCTGAGCTTTCGGAAACTGCTTTCTAATTTCTTTGGGGTTATCTCCAGTTTGATACTTAAAACATTGATATAATAGGCGGGAACGTGGGGAGGCTACAATAAGTCAAGAATGGCTGCGGTGGCCCGGAAGATATGTCCACTTTCCCCACTCGGTTCGCTTGGATTCTACCAAATCTACAAAGGTAACAGCTGAACTACTGAATATTTAAAAAAAATTAAAAAGTAACGTTAAGGTTGATGGCATTTAACAGACAGGTTTTCCCTTTTAATTACATTAACAGCACATTAAGTTGTTTGCTGAAGCACAAAATCAGAACCAAATTTAAAATTTGAAAACTATTGACAAATTCCATTTTAAGAGAAAGAAGATATCCGCATCTTCTTTCATGTTTTATAACTGTTATACAAACATACTTTTTCAATTTAGTACAGATGAACTTGAAAACACTTTTTATAAGAATTATTTCTCTTTATTGCCATTTACGAAATTACTTTTGTTATGATTGTGTTTTTCACTCATTTAAATAAGCATATTATAATAAAAATGTGACACATAATATTTCTATTTACTTACATACATACAATATATAATAATATAGGCACGTGTATGCATATGATGTACGTATATAGAAAAAAATTCACCTGATTAAAAGCTCAATTAAGATTACTTACTATACAATTGTATAGCCGATCAAATACAATATGATTTGTAAAATAGAACATTTATCTAGCAAGTCTATAGAATATGCATTTATAAAGCTTTTACACCCATTGAAATAATTCTCGCATTGCCATATAATTTTGAAGGAGTTAAAGATGAATTTTAAAATAATATTTTAAATTTAAATTTCATACGTACCATTACGATTTGAATATTGATTAAGGTATAGAACATTGGTTAAGGTATTAGAATTCGATTAGAAGAATTAGGTCTCAAAACGGCACTCGCGAAGTGTAGAGTAGAATAGCACTCGTGAAATTTGGCAAGTGGGTTAAAATGATTATCGATATTTAAAAATTGTTTAAGCCTCATCACAGAGTCGCTCTATATTTGGGGAAGTAATTATTCCACAAATTAAGTTCCATAGAGAAAGCTCTTATAATAATATCTATTTTCCTATAAAATTTCAATTATCTACCTTTAGTTTAAACATTTTGAGAAAGACGGACAGGCGAAAAGGCAAACTGATAGACAAATAGACAGACTAATACCATGAAATTTAAAATAATTTTTTTTTTCTAAATTTTTGTGGAAGTGCGCCAAAACGCCTCATAAAAAATTCATAAGTGCGCGCTATTGTTGATAAACTTTGTTTCTAACCTTTGATTTATAACTTTGTTGTCATAAAAATTTCTTTTTACAATATTATGAGGAAGATAATGTAATAACATTATTTATAACAAAGTGGTCACACACGCCTAAACATAAAACATTATATTTTTATCTGTAAGTTTGTCACTACAATATAAACGTAATTTAAGCTGTAATTTAAACTAATAATCTAGTAAATCCCACTTCTTATATTTATCATTCTAAAATATTGTTGTGCTATTGTGTACAAGTATTGTGTACAAATAGAAAACTATTAAAAAAATATTTTTATATGAAGAAAGTTTGCTCAGTAGTTTTTATACAATCGTTTTATTAATAAGTTCAAGAACGCTCTAAAAAATATTGAAAACTATAAGATTTTTTGTTTTTATTTGTCGTTATTTTGTGAAAAATTTTAATAAAAATTATGAATTATTTAAGAATTTTATTATCAATAATATTAATAAGTGCAATTTCAATTGAATCAATAGAATCGGCAAGAATTCTATGTGTTTTTACAACAATAATAAAATCTCATTTAATTATACATGAATCATTGGCAAGAGGTTTAGTTGAACATGGTCATAATGTTACAGTTATAACAACAATACCATTACCTAAAAAAAATCCAGGATTTGAACATATTGAAATTAATATGCCATCACATCAAGAAGAATTTGTTAAAGTATTAAGTAAATTAAATGAAAATTCTAAAATAAATGAAATTTTACGTAAAACAAATTTATTAACTGAATCAATAACTTTTTTAACTAAATGTGCTATTGATGTAATTAAAAGTGAAAAGATTCAAGAAATTTTTAAAACACGTGAATATGATCTAGTTATATTGGGATATTTTTTCAATGAAATACAATTAGGTATTGCTGATCATTTTAAATGTCCAGTTATAATTAGTTGGGTAAATACAAATATCGTAAATACTGATATATTTGTTGGAAATCCATTGGAAATGTCATATATTCCATCAATTTTTGCAGAATTAAAAACCCCATTGAATTTTTTTGATAGAGTTGTTAATTTTTTAATAATTGTTTATGAAAAATTACGACAATATGATTTATTGAGTCAACAAGAGGAAGTTTATAGGTGAAATTTATTATAATGCACATTCACATATAATATAGTACTAATGTTATATTATGTTTTACGCATCATTTTAGGGAAATTTTTCCACCACAGAAAGGATACAGAAGCCTTAATGAAATGTTAAGAAATGTATCGGTTTTATTTCAAGCAACGCATTTCTGTAATAAATTAATTAAACCAATGACTGTGAATACAATTGAAATTGGTGGAATTCAAGTTAAAGAAAAATCGGATCCATTGCCAGAAGTAAGTGTACATAACTACATGTAATATGTCTTTTATATTTAAGTTCTTAACAGTTATTATAATTTTGTATAAAAAATCAGTCCCTCTACTTTTCTTATGGAACACAATTTCCACAAAAAGTTCATTCGTACTTTGCTGAATTAAAAAATTAAGAGAAAATCGAAAGATTTCAAAAAAGCTGAACCCAAATATATTTGAACCTGATGAATATTGCAAATCAAACACGTTAATCTCATTCACAAACAAAATTCAAATATAAATTATTATCAAACCATACTCAGTCGAAACCGATAATACTTGGAAGCGTAACATTGATTATATAGTTTTGAAGTGATTATCAATTAACTAGACACTTGATAAAAAAATTATTCTTTTTCTAAATTTAGAAGATTTAATATGCTTATTAATTTTGTTCATTTTAATCTATGTTTTATTTGTTTAAATAAAATTTGTTATCAACATTCTTGAATTCACAATGTCTGATAGTATTTTCATCGTAATTGTCATTATCTTCTAAATATGTTATAATTCTAGTTCTTTAGCTGGTAAATTATAAATGTACATACCAAACGTTTTTACTCGTTTTTATTAGACTTTTACATTTTATAATTTGCATGTTAATTGAAAAATGTGCACTGATAATTTTTAACAATTTTCCCAATAGTTCTCCTGCAACTTTTTTCTCTGAATTATTGTTCGCAAATCGTAAGACATAAAATTACTTTCAACTTACTGTTATAACAATAAACAATATTTTAATATTTATTTATGTAGTTAATTACGTTTTTATTTTACTCTCAAATTCTTCATTTGAAATTCTCTTTCAAATTTTCTGAGCTACAACAATAATTATACCCGTACGAACGTATGTTCGAAGGGTATACTAAATTTGCCTTACCGTTTGTAACGCTAAGAAATAACGGTGTTAGATATAGACTCAAGTGTATGTTTTTGATCAGCGTCAAATTCTGAGTTGATTTAGCTTTGTCTGTCCGTCCGTCCGTCCGTCCGTCCGTCCGTCCGTCCGTCCGTCCGTCCGTCCGTCCGTCCGTCCGTCCGTCCGAACGATAACTCAAAAACTAATTGAGCTAAAATCACCAAATTTTCACAAATGATTTATTGTAGTAAGTGCCAGAACCCTATTTAAATTGGACATGATCGGGGTACCGGTTCGGGTAGCTGCCTTACAACTTCAAAATTTATTTGGCTATATCTCAGAAACTATAAAAGTTATGGTATTGAAATTTCACACAAACGAATATATTAGTAGGGCTAATATGCCACATAAAAGTCGTTGAAATTACTTGGCTCCTTCTGGTACCTGCCATACAACTTCAAAAGTTATTTGACTATATTTCAGAAACTATTAAAGCTATGGTATTGAAACTTCACACAAACGAATATATTAGTAGGGCCAATGTGTCACATAAAAGTCGTTGAAATTACTTGGCTCCTTCTGGTACCTGCCATACAACTTCAAAAGTTATTTGGCTATATCTCAGAAACTATAAAAGCTGTGATATTGAGATTTCACACAAGTGAATATATTAGTAGGGCCGATGTGTCTCGTAAAAGTCGTTGAAATTACTTGGCTCCTTCTGGTACCTGCCATACAACTTCAAAAGTTATTTGACTATATTTCAGAAACTATAAAAGCTGTGATATTGAGATTTCACACAAGTGAATATATTAGTAGGGCCGATGTGCTTGATAAAATTCGCTAAAATTTCTTGGCTCTTTCTGGTAGGTGCCATACAACATCAATAGTAGTTTGGCACAACCAGTATTTTGAATAACACATAGTACTGAAATTTTGCATAAATTAATATGGTAATACGGCAACTTAAAGTCATAGTCTGCCTCATAGTTAATTATGGCACATTAGTTATTCGCACATAGGATAACAAATTCGTACGGGTATCACAGAGTTGACAAGGTCAACTCTATTTTTTTTCTCGTTTTAATTAACAGTGGCTTTTATTATACCCGTACGAACGTATGTTCGAAGGGTATACTAAATTTGCCTTACCGTTTGTAACGCTAAGAAATAACGGTGTTAGATATAGACTCAAGTGTATGTTTTTGATCAGCGTCAAATTCTGAGTTGATTTAGCTTTGTCTGTCCGTCCGTCCGTCCGTCCGTCCGTCCGTCCGTCCGAACGATAACTCAAAAACTAATTGAGCTAAGTTCACCAAATTTTCACAAATGATTTATTGTAGTAAGTGCCAGAACCCTATTTAAATTGGACATGATCGGGGTACCGGTTCGGGTAGCTGCCATACAACTTCAAAATTTATTTGGCTATATCTCAGAAACTATAAAAGTTATGGTATTGAAATTTCACACAAACGAATATATTAGTAGGGCCAATGTCTCACATAAAAGTCGTTGAATTTACTTGGCTCCTTCTGGTACCTGCCATACAACTTGCAAAATTATTTGGCTATATTTCAGAAACTATTAAAGTTATGGTATTGAAATTTCACACAAACGAATATATTAGTAGGGCCAATATGTCACATAAAAGTCGTTGAAATTACTTGGCTCCTTCTGGTACCTGCCATACAACTTCAAAAGTTATTTGGCTATATCTCAGAAACTATAAAAGCTGTGATATTGAGATTTCACACAAGTGAATATATTAGTAGGGCCGATGTGTCTCGTAAAAGTCGTTGAAATTACTTGGCTCCTTCTGGTACCTGCCATACAACTTCAAAAGTTATTTGACTATATTTGAGAAACTATTAAAGCTATGGTATTGAAATTTCACACAAACGAAAATATTAGTAGGACCAATGTGTCTCATAAAAGGTGTTGAAATTACTTGGCTCCTTCTGGTACCTGCCATACAACTTCAAAAGTTATTTGACTATATCTCAGAAACTATAAAAGCTGTGATATTGAGATTTCACACAAGTGAATATATTAGTAGGGCCGATGTGCTTGATAAAATTCGCTAAAATTTCTTGGCTCTTTCTGGTAGCTGCCATACAACATCAATAGTAGTTTGGCACAACCAGTATTTTGAATAACACATAGTACTGAAATTTTGCATAAATTAATATGGTAATACGGCAACTTAAAGTCATAGTCTGCCCCATAGTTAGTTATGGCACATTAGTTATTCGCACATACGATAACAAATTCGTACGGGTATCACAGAGTTGACAAGGTCAACTCTATTTTTTTTCTCGTTTTACTATAAAATCGAATTATTCGAATTTTTTTTTTTGGACAATAATTGTGTTGTGTCTCATTGATTTGATAATTACAACTAAAAGAAGGGAGAATAATAGAGAGATATTGTGATTTCTTATTCAAGATGTAAAAAAGAGTGTCATCATAAATTGAATGCGAATTATAAGTATGGCGAATTTCCAATATTTAATTCATATTATGTCGTAAAACACGGACATTTAAATCGTATTTAATGTTATACATGTATAAAAAGTTGTGAGCATTTTGTCCAAATTTCTTTGATATTAATTGAAAAAATATTGTATGAAAATATTGTGTGCAAAATAATAGGAATTAAACTAAGTAACTAGCCAATACTATGAAGAATCCTATAGAGGAGGACTTCTTAAACTGTGGGTCGCGACCCCCAGGGAGGTTGCGAGACTACAGAAAAGGGGTCAAAAAATTGTTACAAAAGTTTATTTTTTCTATTGAATAAATATATATATAGTTTTATGTCATTCTATTTATTGTGTTTTATTACGACCGATATCCCATCAACGTTTCCAATTATATATATGTGAAATGAATGGGTACGTATTCTTTAATTCTTATTTTATTTACATTGTAAATAAAATAAGGATTAAAGAATACTATATAAAAAAGTAAAAAGGGGGTCGCTATATAAAAAAGTTTAAGAAGCCCTGCTATAGAGAATTTTTTTTTTAAATTTTTCTAAAAATAGAATTTAATATTTTTATATTCGTATACGACTATTTAATGCTTATTTTACTTTTAATAATTTCCCTTTTATTTACTTTTTTTTTTTATAGGATTTAAAAAAATTTTTAGATGATGCTAAAGATCATGGTGCAATATATTTTTCATTAGGTACAAATGTAAATTCATCTGACCTAGATCAATCAACAATAAATAAAATGTTTAATGTTTTTAAAAAACTACCACAAAATATAATATGGAAATGGGAAAAAGATAATATAAAACCAGGAAAATCATCAAATATCCTTTTTAGAAAATGGTTACCACAAAATGATATATTAGCACATCCAAATATAAAACTTTTTATATCACATGGTGGTAATGGTGGTATTACAGAAGCTAGACATCATGCTGTTCCAATTGTTGGTTTACCATTACTTGGTGATCAATTTACAAATTTAAAAAATGTAAAAACATCTGGTTGGGGTCTTTTCTTAGATATAAAAAATTTAAATGAAACAGATTTTTATGATACAATACAAGAAGTATTATATAATAATAGTTATAGAGATAATATAAAAAGAATATCAAAAATATTTAAAGATCGTCCATTAAGTCCAATGAAAACAGCAATATATTGGATTGAATATACATTAAGGTATAATGGTGCTTCACATTTACAAAGTTTAGCAATACATATGCCATTTTGGAAATTATATTCAATTGATGTTATCATATTTCTATTCATTATTATTTATTTAATATGGATTTTAGTAAAAATATTAATTAAATATATTTTAAGATTTTGTTATAATATTTTAATATTTAAAATATTAAGATATAATAAAGAAAAAATTAATTAAAATAAGAATTCTTTACAATATATTCAATGAACATAATATTTTATATAATATATATATTTGAAAAGATGTAGATGTAGAACGACATGATGTTGTCTTTATATTATATAGTTATTAAATACTCAATTACAGATTTTCTTTTGATAATTATGACAATAATAAAATAAAATTTAATATAATAAAATATCCTGTCAATTTTATAAATAAAATTTCATGTTATACTGCAATATAACAATAATCATGTAGCTTTTATATTGTAAATATTTCATATATCTAGTATACACTCAAATTTCAATAAAATGTATTCAATAAATTTTCTATATTCTACTTACATAATATGCATATAATATGTGTACATGCATGTATGCATTTATGTATAAGAATATCCTGTGAATTTGATATTATTTAAATTCTGAAATTATTTAATTAAATTGAAGTGTTTATTGTGGATAACATAGAGAATATTTTGAAAAAAAAAAACTGCTTTAAATTAATAGTAAAATAATCTGCATTTTTGAAATTAGTTTAATGAACTTATTGATCATAAAACATGTACATTTTTTTCCATTTCTTTTCAGTTTTCAGGAATGGAGTGGAAAAAATGCTCATATCATAAATGTATTCGTAATTGGAAAATATTATTTCAATATTAAATCTGGTTTGTCAGTGATTCGAAGATTTTAGAAATTTATTTGTTTTATCAGATACTCACACGATGACTGTGAACAGCATTTACTCTTATTACTCTACTGAACTTTGAATTATTTAAGACAAATTTCTATACAAATAGAAAATAACTGGCAAAATTAATATCACTATAGTAAAATTTTAGAGATATAAAAAACATTAGCAAGAAACTAATTGTAGAAACATAATCAAAGCGGTGAACGCAAAGGCGGACAATTTCCGTTACTAACCCAGAACAAAAAAAGAACGACAAAATAAATAGCTCAGTATTTTGCAAGGAAACAAATAACGTCAAAAAAAAGCGTCAGCTATAAATTTAACCACCGGCAATGAAAATTAAGCACCGTAATTTCGTTCGATTTTGGGAAGTTGACATTTCGGAAAATCGCTCTTGCTCTGTTTTCGCCGTGCCGCAGAAAATCGCTCTTGTTCTGTTTTCGCCGCCCCTCGGAAAATCGCTCTAGTTGAAGTTCTGTTTTTGTTACAGAATCGTACTAAGCGTACTATGTTCCATTTTTGACAACACTAAAAGCTATATAATTTCATAATGTATTTGACTCGCGTCTATACCATAATTAATTAGGCTTCATCATTATGGTCTTCAAGAATAATTTAACGCTATTTAACTCCTTTTTATAAACAAAAGAAAGAAGAAAAAAATCTATTTTCGACTGCGTTGCAATGCCGCGCTAGCTAAAACCCTCTGGAAACATTTTTTAAAAGCAAATTTCATTAAATGTTTTTGATTAATTGCATTAAAAAGATAGAAACTAATAAATTATATGCCAATGAAAATGTGAAAATAATTTTTCAAAATCATTTACTATAAATATTAAAAATAAGAAGATGCATTTGGTGTTTAAGACAAAAATGAATAATATTAGAAAATGTTGATATCGTCTGTTGTACAAGTAACATGGAACAAGCAAACAAATCGGATTGTAATTGCCAAAAGAGAGAATTATATTGAATTAGATTTAGTGGGGTAAAAAGCTTAAATTAATCATTTCAAGCAAAATGTTAAACTTGTTTCCAACCTGATATTTAGTTTCTTATAAGCATCTTACAGTATATCAAACCTTGTTTAGATCGTATCTTTTGCTACTGTGTACGAAAAAATGTGTCTATTTCAGCGTAAGCGTAACGCATTTTAAATTTCATTTAAATTGTTGGCATTAGCACAGCCTGTCATACAACCTATCATAACATTGCGGAAGTCTTGTCGAACAGCAGTTGTTATTTTCACGAATTTTAAAATAAATAAAGACTGACTAACAGCTCTTCATAAATATTATAGAAAATTTTTGTTATAAAAAGTTTTCATTCTCTTATGGCTCATCACTATAATTTCAACGTCATAATTACAAACATTTTATGGCAGCAATAAATATACGCGGACCTAGGTTTTGCTCTTGTTTTTGTTATTATATAGGCACCACTTGGTTTTCATTTAATTTGGAATTCTACATATACAAAATCATAAATTTGTTTTGTAAAGTAAGTATAAAAATTTAAAAAAATATAAAATTTATTGAGCTCAAACATAAAAAAAAAATATAAACAAATATGTTTTTAGGTACGTTTATTACTAATAACCTCACCTATGTGTACATAATATGATGCCTTTTTGATATGCACCATATCTACATACACCATATATACATACATGTACATTATTTTTGTGCATAATAACTTACATGTACCTAGATATGTAATTAACAATGAAGAAAAACAGTTGGATTTTTTATATTTCAAAAATTTTTTTTTCAGCTTCATTTCAACAAATTTTTTATCAGCAGTTGATATGATTAATTTATTCTTACATTTATAATACGTACATTATGCACAGCTATTAGCTATCCAATATTTAGAGGTTCGGTTATCTATAAATTACTTCTATACCACACATTGTACAGTTTCTAAATATTTAGTTTTGAATTAATTGATTTATTAAAAACACAAAGTACCTTCTACAAGAACATATTCTAGCGATCCATAGCTCAAACTTATTCGGAAGAACATTTTTCATACAACTGTGCATAAAATAACTCCTAAAAAAATTTACAAAAGTTTTTTGTAACAAATACTAAAAATTGATTGTTTTGTATCACTGATGGCATAAAAGAGGGATGAGATCAAAAATCGAATTTTAGAATTTTGAATGTTGTGTGGTTAAAGGTTCAATGTTGCATCATAATTACAGTTGTCTATACATTTCGAAAAGTTAAAACTTAATCTTCGTACATACCAAAGTGAAAAATTGGCCTAAATTATTAATTTATAAAATTTAAGCTATAAAACTTTAAAAATTGACGAAGTTGCCAATCAATTTATTAGAGGGGGAATTTGATTATTTTTCTAGAATTAAACAAAAAATATAGGCAATTTATTGTTTAATAACAGATCAGAATCAGGTAGCGTCTATTACCTATAATATTCAATCGAATTTTAATTCTTCTAACACTACTTTTATTAACTTTATTTTTCTTAATGTGTCATTAATCCTACAGTTTTCCTAAACAACGATATTCTCATTTTGTATACTTACGAGTATGTTTTTTTGTAATCTCACAATTTCATATTTAGTTTTTCATCCTATTGAGAAAACCTGCAGAGCATTAACAAGCTAAAATGAAGTTTAATTTAATAAAAGAGTAAATTGAGAACACAAAAAAAAAACAAAAATTAAAGCGAGTATAGAAAAAACGCATTTGTTTTTACAGTACGAGTACAATACCTGTAGCATGTTTTTTTAGTTTTTTTTTTTCTTTAAATGCAGGCAACTCGTTAACTTACCTTGGATTGTTATTGTTTTTAATCATTAAAATTATTTTTGAATTTTCTGCTTTTCTCCGATTCTGTTTTTTTGGTTACTGTTATTACAACAATATAAGTTTTGTCAGTACGAGTACGTATTTAATGTAATAATAATAACAATAAGTGGATAGTTATTATATAAGATTTAATTATTTAAGTAAAGGTGGTAATAAATGAGTATGTGTTGATTATGTCAGTTTGAAATTTGGTTAAGATTCATTAAGTCGCAGTTTTTTAGTTGTACTTGACCGCATTTTTTTTTTTCACAAATTTCAAAAAGTAAAAATGAAGCAGACAATATGATTAAAAAAAAATAATAATAATTTCTTCAAATGAAAGTAAAAGTAATTACAATTGAAGTTAACTAGTATGGGGAAATAATGGTAGGTACAGTAAGGAAAATAATAATGTTTTCAAAATTAGTAAAACTCAAAAGTATGCCATGATAATTTTGTTAGTTAATTTTACAACTGTTTTACTGATTAATAATAATTATTAGTAAAATTACCTAATATTTCATAAATTACTTATGTTTTTCAAAGTACTATATGAAATAATGTCTATGTCTCACCGTTCAATTACACTGTAATGTCAAATACACCAAAAGTCACTGAAATTTCTCATTCATAATAATATAACAAAACGACAACAGTATTATTTTCGGGATCTGGTCTGGGATCAACAGTGTAGCAACTAATCGGTGACTAATCCAGTTGTGTAACTGCTTGAGTTCCTGGGCAAGTGCCTATACTACCCTCACGTGGTGGCCCCTGACAACTTTTCTGCTAGCACCGGCTGGTAGAACTGGCCGAAATTGTAAGCGCGGACCTTTACCCCAGCTCGGAGTTAGCGTAAGGTTAACTACCTTACATGTAAAAATCAATAGTTATGGAAGACTTAAGTGAAGTCTCAGATATACTGGTTGAATCTAATGGTAAAGCATATTATAATTGGACATAATAATGGGTGAGTGTCTTAACCGGAGTGAATGAATTGCATATTTTTAACTTACGTTTCTAATATTAGTGAAAAGTAATTGTCTAGTATAGAACATAATAATTCATTCATAATTTATGCATTCACATAATTTTAAAAAATCATTTTCAATTTTACATTATCGAAAAATTTTGTTGACGTCTAAGCTCAGTATAATTACAGACCTGTTTCTGTTATCGTCCTTGTTGTTCTAATAGTTGCATTTAATTATTAGTTGGAAATTAATACTTTGAATGCTTTCGTTCTATTGTAAATCAAACACACATTTTCCTAAAATTCTAAAATTAAAGAGTTTTCACACTAGATTTTCAAGAATTTTGTGCTGGTATAGGTTTGAAATATGTCTACTGTCATATTCCTTGATATAATATTCCCATTTCTTCTTCTAACTCGTTTGAATTTTTCAAAATTCTGTTTCAATTTTTCTTTTCCGCATGTTTTTAGTTTTCTAAATAAAATCATTCGCATTGTCCATTTTATTTATGTCCTTATTAAATGCCATCATGAAATTTTCCTTTTAATTTTAATTTTTCATTTTTATATAGTTTTCTGTTTATTTCTTTTAATAATGTAATATTGTATAGCAGTCAGTCCATCCTGTCCACTTGTAATGTATCAGTTTACCTACCAATTTAATAAAAAAAAATCATACTCTAAAAATCAAACTACATTAATACGTACAAACATTTTATATTGTTATATGTGGTAAAGAAAGAGAG